TTGGAATTTGCCAAGCGGTTTGCTCTTTGGCCTTCCAGAAATGTAATTAAACATCAGAGACAATCACAAATCGTCTCGTCTCCCCAAAAAATATGATTGCTTGACTGGGTATCTACGATTTGGTAATTTCCATCTGTGTGTGTGTGTGTGTGTGTGTGTGTGTGTGTGTGTGTGTGTGTGTGTGTGTGTGTGTGTGTGTGTGTGTGTGTGTGTGTGTGTGTGTGTGTGTGTGTGTGTGTGTGTGTGTGTGTGTGTGTGTGTTGCAGATAAACACGGTCACATGTGCAGACACTTATGCAGACCCATATGCACACGGAGACAGACAGTAGGCTCCCTCATCATTAATTCAGGAGCCATCACTCTCAACATCCTTCTGCCCCAGAGAAACCCCCAATGCTTCCCGGCAACGTAGATCATATTTATTCATACATCCTCTCCGCTTTACTAAATGTCACTGTAAATGTTTCTCCTTATAATGAATCCATTTCTTTCCTTTGTTCCATTATTTCTTCACCACCTTCCTTCTCTCCTTCCTGCACTTCCTCGATGTATCCCCCTGCCTCTGTTCAGGGAAAAAGGGAACATCCGTAAAAATGTTTCCCAAACCTTGTTCTTGCTCCATTACCATTATGTTTCTAAACTTCAGAGACTCTTTACCCTCTCTGCTAATTCTAGTCACACTTCATTTCACCCTAAACAAACACCTCAGAGGACAACCGCAGCCTTAGCAGCAATTACTCCAAACATTGATCTGAAAATGTCTGCACCAGCACCTCCGAGCCACTGCTGAGACACTCTGGGAAAGGGGATTACTTTAGAGTCTCTACTGCTTCCAGTATCTGTGCCCAGACTTCTCCAGTCACAAGAGAGTTTGTTCACTTCAGCTTCTGTTTGCTTCTCTCTGCTTTGTTTTGGAGTCCATTCACCTCTCGTTCCCCTCTTACCTCAAACATTCCTCTGAACAAAAAGGCCTGTATTACAACACACTGCTGGAGTTTAAAGGTGTGTCTTTGTGCCAGCACACTTGTTTGAGTGGGTTTTAGGTACACCAGCTACTCAAATGGGAGGTTCTTCAACTGTCAAGCTGGAACATTGTGCAGTTTGTATTTTGCTGCTTTATAAGTACTTTGTTAGGGTTTGGGCCAGAGCAGCACTGTCCTCATTGCACTCTGAAATTCTGTTGCAGTTTGTAGGATATATTTTCAGAGCATAAATGAAAAGAATGAAATGGTCCATGAACTCAGCAAGCAAAGACCTGCATTTGACTCTTTGCAACAAACTCTGGGACGATAAAACATCAGGACTGGCATCTACACCCAGTCATTTAGGGCAACAGGGCTGAAAATATCAAGTGTCGTTGAGCAGCTGCAACCAGAAAATAACCAACATCTGTGGCTGTTTGGTTGGGCCAATTCCCTCCAGGCTGTAAACTGATTTGATTATCAATAAGCAGAAAACTTGTTTTATGCTGTAAGACTGGAATGATTCAGCTACTGGCGGGAAATAATAAGTCTTTGGACGATTTTCAGTGCAAGAGGTGGTGAAATTGTTGTGTTTACCTGTTGGTTTAGCTTCATTCATACATGAAATTATACTGCATGAGATTCTCATGGGTCATTGAAAAGTGCTTCTGCTGCAGGTGGGGAAATAAATACAAGATTATATTCTTGAAAAAAAAGATATAATGCTCCACGTTTAGTCATCACCTGTTTAGCCTCATCAAGGCAAAGCTCTTTATAATATGGTGGTTTATTCACCCGCTCATGCAGCTTTCTGTTATATAAATATACATAAATCACACTTCATAAATGTGTACTCAGCTTGGAATGAAGGAAACTTTGGCATGTTGGTGATGCTCCAGTTGGAAGACGGCCTCCCGACTGAATTGTTCTCATCTTCTAAAACAATTAAATGCATGTATCTGTAGTCTAACCCCTATTTCCCTCTGGAAGCATCAGCGGCAGCAGAATGTTTTACTCGCGAGCTTCAATGAGGTCCGGTACACATCGGGTGAGTCTTGGCCACAGAACACCTTCCTTCCTGTGCTCCTTGCTGGACTTTTGAGATCACAAAGAAACTTCAAAGTTTGCGGTTTGTTTATGTCATCTGTCTTTAAACCAAAACGAAGGAATCACGCAGATGTGATGATGTTCCTCTCCTTTGCCGGGATTAAAGCCATGAAAAACACACCGTTGGACTTCTGGAACAATGCTGGGAGTAAATCAGCCATCAGGTCACACGTAAGCTACATAGATATGAAATTGCTTTGCTGAAATAATCTTTTATTTTGAAAATTGCCAGGAGATTTACACTGAAACCGTGTGCAAAGTGACGTGTCCCAGAAACGGCAATCTTCAGAGGCGTGGCGTGCCACTCTCAGGACGCGCCTGAAAATTGCCGCATCATGGCTTGAAACACCCCGTTGACTATAACGGATTCTATTTGAAGCAGTGACGTTCTGCTAGCATTCCGCACCGCTGACGCTGCCGGTGTGAAATAGAGGTGAGGTTTGCTGACTGATATTGAGAATAACTCATGTCCCAAAGTTGAGTCCTAAAAGCAGCAGATCCAAAAGGGCAAGACATTCTCACACCCGAAGCAGCTAAAACGGACAATGGGAACCCCAACGCTTCAGGCGGCGACGCACTGTGCCAGAGCGTTGCTTTCCAACGCCCGTGGTAAGATGGAGATTTCACCGAATTGTGACCTTGAACCTTCCCCCACCTCCATCCCAACCTTAACCCACTTGTGCATGCAAAACTATGTTTCTAGTTGTGTCGTCCATCTCAAACATGGTTAACAAAAGTTTTACAACAAGAAACTGGACTAAGGTTAGGATGGGGTGAGCGGAAGGTTAAATAGCAAGAGGTCAGAGGTTAAATGTCAGTGAAATGTGTGTTTTCCAGCAGGCTTCAGAGACCAATGCTCTGGCACCATACAGTACCTCCCGATGCGTTGGGGCTCCCTACGTCAGAAACAAACGCTTGGTCACCTATTGTCAGTTTTAGCCACTTCGGGTGTGAGAATGTTGAAAAGGGAGACCCATCATACAGCTACCCCTGAAAAAATGAACCAATGAGGAGAGAACATGACCTTTCAACTCAGCTCCTTTTGGTCTACAACAGGATGAAGAAGTTTTCAGGATTAAATTGTCCATCAATGTCTCTGGGATGTCAAAATGTTCCATAGAAACAAATATGGATCCTATTTACAGCACCCTCCAATCTCTTTTGGTGTCTTCTAAAAATCGTCACAATTCCTCAAGTTATTGATGTGAAAAAGTGACTAAAATGTTCACATACCCTTTTTAATGAAGAGCTGAATGTGTCTATTACATGGTATAAATGTATTTATTACATTATAATCGGCGCCCCACGGTGCTCCTCATGATTTACGCAGAGCCAGCACCCAGCGCTGCCTTCACATGGCGAGCTGTAAAAATCAGAATGATGAATGGGTTGGATTAAATCTTATTTACAGTCTCATAAATAAGACACGCTTGGTTATCACTTTCATTTGTTGTAGCTTCATCATATTTCATTCGCCATTGTTTCATTCTGAGGGTAGTCTCCTGAAAAGTACCCTCTCCTCTCGAAAAATAACTCAAGTTTTTTCTTCCAGATTTCAGCCTTGTGCTTTGAGTCTACTTTCCCTCTAACTCAGTCACTTTAGTGAATAAAAAGACTGGCTAATAAAATCAAGTCGACTGCTCACAGGAGCTGTAAAGTGTCCATTTTGGTGCCACAGCTAATTATTCATCAGAGCTGAACTAAAGATTAGTGCAGATCTATGTATGAAGACTCAAATTCTTTAACTGGCTCTTTTATTGTTCCTCTAAAATCCCCACCCTCATTTTAGATATGTCGGAGCCAGGAACGCCGGTGAAACGACTCTAAGCCTTTGTTCCTGAGTTATCCTGATGACACCCGAGGCTTGTTAGTGCCGCCTTTGATAGAGATGCTCGGCAAAGTGTGGGCATCTCTGTTATCAGCAAGACCGAGACTTACCAAGGCTGGGATGAGAATAAAGCCGCTTCATCTCCCTTTGGGAATAAAAAAATAATAACGGTAATATCGATGGATTGCAGCCTTATCTTGCACTGAGCTGCTTAACTTTTCGTTTTTGGTACAGAAAAAAAAACATTAAGTTTTCCAAATTGTCAAAGTGTTTGTGTTTCTTACTGATTTCCTTAAAAAAAGCAGGAGGAGACTTGAAGTACTGCAGTCATTGATAAAGTCACCTGTAGGCTATAGGAAGAGAAGATTAGGAGTTATGGATGAGTGTCTCTCACTAGCTCTGATGCCCCCTTCAGGGCAGTAGGCTCCTAACCACAGGTCAGCAGAAGAAATCTCGGCTTATTAGAGTCAAATTTGGATCTCTAGCAGCCCTTGTGTGTGTGTGTGTGTGGGGGGGGGGGGGGGGGGGGGGACTGTAAGAGGAAGGTGAATAGGTTCAGAAAAGTTTAAGTTTAGAGAGATTGGATCATGTTATGTTCCTCTTCTTAAAGTTACACAACTGGATTGATGAATGTGTATAACCAGAACTAAGATGTCCTCTTTTAGTTTTGGGGAAGAAGTTTCACAATGAAACTTGCATTTTGCGAAAAAAAATAAAAAAAATCTATAAAGTAAGTGTGTGTGTGTGTGTGTGTGTGTGTGTGTGTGTGTGTGTGTGTGTGTGTGTGTGTGTGTGTGTGTGTGTGTGTGTGTGTGTGTGTGTGTGTGTTTACTGAATAAAGCTGCATTTACAAGTTATTGCAGCAAACTAATGGTTTAAAAGAGATGGTCCACGAGGATTTAATGTGTCTGGTGACGTGTCACACCTGATGTCATTCATGATCAGATCACATGAGGTCATGTAGTGTTTCGAGCTGGGAGAGAAAAAAAAGATGTGTTCCTGAAAACAAGAAGCTTGAGAGAAAAGGAGCCCTGGACTCATGCAGAACATGTGACATTAGCATGAGTTGGACCTGAACTAGGCACATCTTCATATAGTTGGAGATGGATTCAGAGAGTTCCTGCTGCAGCGCTCTTTATCAAACATCAGGCTGGAGAGTGAGTGCGTGCGTGTGCGTGCGCGATGCAGAATGAAACAGATCTCACTGGGGGGTGCCCGGTGACTCACGGACTCGGACTGGAGAAGATGCGCGAGCGCGGACGGAGGCTGAAATATGCATATCGATTGCAGACACGCACAGGACCGACCACGCGCATCCACGCGCCCTTCTCCCCCTCGTAAAGGGGCGTGTGGGACTGGCGAGAAACTCATACCCTCCGCATTCACATCAGTGTCAAAGCGGAGAGCGGTGGCAGATCACCGAGACACACGGAGGACCAGAAACTTCCACTCAAGCGCTTTGATTTTTTATTTCTAATCGAATTCGTTTCATCTCGCGGACATATTTAGAAGCCGAGTCCTCTCCTTTGTGCTGGTCTGGGTCTGAGCTGTGAAATCAGCGAGGAGGAGACGGATCTGCGCCCGGAGAGGAGAGCGGGTTCCCGGGCTGTGCGTCTTTACGCCGTGGCGGGTCCTCTACGCCCAGAAGAGAGGAACTTGAGAAGTTGGGTCGCCGTCAAAAGGACCGAGGTCTGGTGTGGTTTTAGGAGGATCTGGAGAAGCCTCTGCTCTTCTCCGCGCTTGTTGGAAGTGGAGAGAGGAGGGCTGGATGCCAGCGGGTTGGCGAAGTCTCCAAACGCAGGTGAATGCAGATGTTATATTTGACTAAGACTACAATAAATTATCACAAATAGGTCTATTATTAACTGGTAATTTGTTTAAATGAGCTTATTGATCATGTATTTAAAAAATTATCCAAAACACATTAATCCACTTTTTTTATATTTATAACTGGTGATTAATCTGGATTTATCTCCATTAAAACCACCCGGTTAATTTTCTCCATTGAGTAAAATCTTCGCTCAAATGGACTTTTCTGTCAATTTAAGAGTTCCAGTTCAATAGTGTCACTGTTGTGGGGCAGTCTGAGCCGTCTGCCGTGTGGGTAACTGCATGAAAAGACACACAAACGGAAAACAGAACACTTTATTTAGTTTCTTCTGGCAGAAACGGTTAGAGGTGGAATGTTGTAAATGAGTTAGGGTAAAGTGTGCACAGGGGGGATTGCTTTCTGAAACAAACTAAAGGAAATGTGTTATTAGAATAAAACCAAATATGCGTCTGTTTTGTTTTACTCATGTCTGTGGCTCCTGTTGAGTCACTACTGGCTGTTCTCCCTTCATCGTCTGTGTCCTTTTTAGTGAGATAAGACAGTGAGAGGGAGGGGAAGAGTTAGTGAGGGCGGAAGGAGAGAGAGAGAGAGAGAGAGAGAGAGAGAGAGAGAGAGAGAGAGAGAGAGAGAGAGAGAGAGAGAGAGAGAGAGAGATGCCGCTTAACGGGCTGCTGTGTCTTAGTGTCTCAGATTCGACTGACATATAAAGACTTTCAGAAACAAGTTGGCAACAATCAAACCAGCCACCATCCATCCCGATATTCCCACTCTGAGCCTCGTTATCAGGTTGGGAAATGCGCAGCAGAGCGCGCGCTCTCTTCACGCATTCCTAGCCGGCTCACCTCTCCGTTTTATTTTGTCTTTTACGCACCACAGCCACCAAGGATTACACCCAGCCCGGACATCGTCACCTAGAGGAGTAAGGGTGGATTCCGATCTCTGTGCTTCTGGTGCCGTTTGGAAAGAAGATGGCACCGTCCGCGCTGAAGGGCCGACAGCAGCCGGTACCGGAGCGCCGGAGCCGGAGCTGAGGAACAGGATGCCCGCAACCTAAGCCCGCACTCACGTCAACTCTGGAAAAAGGAACATTTCCTTTATTTGTCGTTTGAAACGGAGACGCATCCCAACAAAAGAAAAACAAAACACTGTTTTAAGGAGTTTGGCTTTCATTTTTGTGCGTAATTTTACTTTTTCGGGACAAAACAAGAATGAATTGTGGATTAGTTCTGATCCTGTTTATGGGATTCCTCCTGGTGGTCAAGGCTTTCAAAAACGGTAAGTGTGACACCTGATCCAAGTATAAATAAAGCTTTTATGTTCTTAGCGGAGCCACTAATCCCGCTGTTTTAGGAGAGATTAGCTCTCTCTGATCGTTGGGCAAACTCTGGCTTATACCTGGAAACGCCTGAAGCCAACTCCTGAATTTTCTCCAAACTGCTGCTCGGTAAAAGTCCCGATTCATGTTTCACAACATTCAAGTTTTAAGACGTTCGTTTGTAAAACTTTCAGAACGTTTTAGTTTTACTCATTCTGCTGCAGGTTTGGTGAAACTTTCATCAACAAATGTTTTTTTTTATTTCACTTTCCTAAAAAAAAGGTTGTGAAAAATCTTTCAACTAAAATGCATGTATTTTCTGAAGATTACAAAATTTAAAAGTTCATTTTGTGGTAAAACTTATTTGAAAAAGTTTTAACAACATAAATCAAGTTTTGTTATCCACGAATTTTCAGATGAAGGTTTTAAGCCACTTGCTGAAAGTTGAGACTCAAACTTTCATTATTAATCATTCTGACTTTGTGGGTCAAACCGAAGCTTCTAATTTGTTTATTGTGTATTTATCTTGTTTGTTTCAGTCTTTTTTACATGGTGGATTATTCCATCATAAATTACTGTTTTGGGACATTATTAATGTTAGATTCTTTACTTTTGACGGGTTGTTGGGAACATGTTGCTCCAATAATAAAAATCGGGAAAAAAGCAATAAAATAAATAAAATAATAATAATAATAATCGAACCAAATAATACTTCACATTGTAATAAACAGCGCATTTGTTTTTAAGTTCTTGATGCAGGAATAATATGTTTTACAATAAGTTGAATACATTTTTACACCATTTAGGTTTTGTTTATGTTTTCTTTGAGGTCTCGTTTCTGCCGCGTGTTTCAAACCTTCTGTCTTCACGCAGATAAATGCGGAGGCAACATCAGGATCTCTTCCGCCAGCTACCTCACATCTCCCGGATACCCCATGTCCTACCCCCCCTCTCAGAGGTGCGCGTGGGTGATCTCGGCACCCGGTCCTCACCAGCGCATCCTCATCAACTTCAACCCGCATTTCGACCTGGAAGACCGGGAGTGCAAGTAAGCTGGACTTCATCAGCTGGCTCTGATGTTCATTCAAAGCTTTGTTTAGGTCGCTTGATCCGTGTGTGTGTGTGTGTGTGTGTGTGTGTGTGTGTGTGTGTGTGTGTGTGTGTGTGTGTGTGTGTGTGTGTGTGTGTGTGTGTGTGTGTGTGTGTGTGTGTGTGTGTGTGTGTGTGAGAGAGAGAGAGAGAGAGAGAGAGAGAGAGAGAGAGAGAGAGAGAGAGAGAGAGAGAGAGAGACTCCCTCAGTCCTCTCGATTGCGCATGAAACTGCGCCATCTAGTGTCTGGAAGCGTGACTTTTCACTCTGGATGCACACAAATGAAGGAATGTCAGCTGTTTGGTTTTGGGAAACTACTTTATTGTCCTTTTTGTGGTCCGAAGTCATGGGCTTCTATAATAAAATGCATCTGAGTAGATTGGCCGGAGGCTTTGGGTCTGAATTGAAGCTTTAAATCATTCTCAGGCCATTAACTGTGGTTTCTTTTCATGAAAGTGGAAAACAAACTCCCAATCAGCCACACTGGCTCTTCATACCAGTTTATAAAGTGGCGTTTTGTTTATTTGAAACAGATATTTCTTATTTTAGTCAGAGCTGGAAGTGGGTGGAACCTTTTCATTGAAATCCACAAACTGCCCTTTAAAGGTGGATTTCAAAGTGACAGTTGGTAAACGATCCTCATTTGACTTGTGAGCAGGAGCTGTTGCATCCAGCAAAATGCTGAGCAGCCGCCCTGATGTCAGGTCTTAGTTTGAGCCCATGAAACCCGAGGTAGACGGTAATGTGATGAGGCTGTGGTGGTGGAGATGCCCCGAGGTGAGCTTTGCCTGGGCAGACTGCCTCACTCTGATTGCCTGTCTTTGCGCGCGCGCGCACGCGCGCGCGTGTGTGTGTGTGTGTGTGTGTGTGTGTGTGTGTGTTTCTGCCTCAGCCCTGCTCTGTCTCAGCTGTTTGTTTACGCTGCAGGGCTCAGGAGAGCACAGAGCTTTGCTGGATCCTGTTACTGTATCCCTGCTCCACGCTGAATCGGGACCCTGTGCTTCTTTTGTGCTCCTTGAATGAACCCCATATTCCCTTGCACTGACTTTAAAAAACTAAAAATCAGGGTTTAAATCCCACTTTAACCTTTCTTTACTGCTGTCATGGATTTATGGTTAACTGAAGGCTGCCGTGTGAGCAGCTGGATGCTCTCCGACTCTCATGTTGGGTCCAGTTTCAGCACCAGAGGGACCATAAATATGTCCAATATCCTCAGCAGAAACAAAGGGTAAGGAAGAGACAAGAGGGGAGGCTGAGGGACGGAGGTTGGAGGGTGGGGGCCATGTGACAATGCCTGTGTTAATCAAATTAGTCAGAAATGGACTTCTTGAACGCACGCTGTAAGACGAATCGAGTTCCTGCAGCCTGGAGGAAGTGAGTGGTGACCCCGAGTTCAGATGTCAGATTTAGACGGAATCTGTTCATGCTCACTGCTCGTAAACCCGGATTATAGATAAAACACGCTGCATTTTATAAGCAGACTTTTTCTAATCAATGCAACTTGTAAAGCATTTCTGTAATAATATTGTCAGAGTATTCTGTTGGATTTGCTTTGATCGCAGTAATTCATAGAATGTCCATTTGCATGTTGGTCTGGTGGACCCTAAAACTCTAAAACACAGAACAAAAGAGGCAAAGGAGAAAAATGTGGGTTCATCAGTAAAACTGGAGAAGATGTTAGGAGGTTATTTGCTTATTTCCATGTTACAACAACGACTGACCCAGAAAATAACCTTAAAGTTAGGGTTAGTTCAGATCGTTTGCAATGTACTTCTCTAAAGTACTTCTAAAGTCCAAAGGTGACAGATCATTTGCTGTTGTGGCCCCCAGACTCTGGAACTCTCTCCCCCTGAGCCTGAGATCAGTGGACTCAGTGGTCTCCTTTAAAAATCATCTGAAGACTCACTTGTTCAAGCTGGCTTTTGTATGACCTTCTTCACCACTCTCTCTTTATTCTCCTCTCCCCACCTATTCCACCTTCCTCAGGATCCACTGACTCCCCTCTTTCCTTTTCACTCTCTCTCTCTTTCTTAACATTTTTTCTTTTAAATCCCAATTGCCTATTTTTGCTCATTTTAAATACATTTTTAAACATTTTCTAAATGCTTTTTTTATATTTTAACAAATTTTTTTTTTGTTTTTGTGAAGCGCCTTGTGATTTTTATCTTGAGAGGCGCTATAGAAATGATATTTTCTTCTTCTTCTTTGTAGCCAAAAAGCAAAAATCTGATGGATGTTTGTGTTTACCACGATGCAGTTGATGGACAACTTTTGAAACAAGCATGAGATTGAAAGGTGTATTTTGTACGGTACATTTGACCCTGTTCAAGTTGCAGATTAGATCAGACTACTCAGATGAGCAGCGATCTTAAACTTTTACACCAGTTATTCTGGCATTATACTTATGTTTACTTTAACAGGAAGAGCTGCAGGTGTCATCTGCATTATTTGGTTCTTTTTTAACACAGAAAGTTGTTGTTTTACCTTCTTTGTTTCTGACGTTTCGACTACTCCTGCAGTCTTCTTCAGAGCTCGCTGCTGCAGCTCACTTCCTTCTCCGTTTATCCCTTTTCTATGTTAAAAAAGAACCAAGTAATGCAGTTAGAAGAAACACGCAGAAGGAACACACAAAACATGTCTATAAGTTTCACATTTCCTGCAGTTTTTTGTTGTAAACAACTACAACTCTATATGAACGTTGTAAATTGGAACACGTGACAGCGTAAACGTTTGAAAGCAGTTGCATGAATTACTAATATTACATTTTTGAGTAGTCAGCTCCTCATTCCAATCAAAAATAATCTCCACTCCCTGGTGTTGAGGGGTGATGGTGGCAGAGGCCCCCTGTGATCAGCAGGTTGCAGGTTCAAGCCCCTCTCAGTCTGTTGCAGTCGATGTGTCCTTGGGCCACCCTTGTTGTCTGCAGCCAACCTTGTTCCTTTTACTGTTAATGCTCTTTAATATGAAAGCAGATTATTAGATGGATTATTAACTAACCGCTAACTTGGTTACCGAATAGCGAGTAGGGCGTGATTTGTCTATCAGACTTGCCGTTACAGAGTCGCTCTCCAAATCTTACATAATGGAAACTGATGAGAGCCAGAATGGCTTCCTTATCTGATGGGCTGGCAAAGTGGGTGGGGGTGGGGGGGTCGGACTGACAACGCATGCTTCAGTGCACTGCCTTGCAATCTAATTAGTGGGCCAATGGAACACACATGCACCACATGTTCCCCAACATGGCGCTTATCAACAAACCAAACAAGAAGCACTCAAAGTGGTGCTGGTAAAAAGAAAAACAGTCATGGCTGAGCAGAGTCTGGCTGATGCCGTGTTGTTGCACATGTGCGCTACCCTTGACGGGTTTGTTTGGGGAAGTGCAGAGGCCTGTATCCTGAGAGCGGGAGGAGGAAAACACTTCATCATGGAGATAAGGGGACTAAGTGAGCCCTGCGATTCTGAATGCACAGCATGTTTACCTTTCACACACAGTTGTAGACGTTCACAGAGCTGGGTTTTACATGCCGCCCACTCGCTGCCTCTCACAGCTAATGAAGTTTGAGGAGAAGGCACAGCCCGCATCGGGGCAAATATCTGAAGTCAATTTGTTCTTAAAATGCAATGCAAGCTCGGCTGAGGTGAAAAAACAAAGTAAATGCCTTCGATCTGCTCCTCCTCCTCTGTGTATTCACTCTGTTTCTCAAGGATCTGATAGAGGCTGTCAGGCTCATCTGGCTGCACCCGAAGGAAGAGCCAAGCTTTCAGAGGGTTGGAATCTAAACGAGTGGCTGTCAGGCTTCACGTCTGATTTGAAAAGCGTACAAGGCATGCAAACTTTTTTTCTTGTTTGGATAAAGTTAGAGATTCAGAACTTACTTCTCATCTCTCATCCTGACCCACAGGCTGCAGTTTCACCTCCTCTGTTTAGATCCGATGCACTCCTGACAACAATATGAATCTTTGATAGCGTGGGATCTGCTGACCAGACCAGAAAACCGTCCGCGTTCAGCACAATGAAATTCCTCGCAGTCAGCCAGTCAGTCAGGCAGAGCAGCGCTGTTTGTTTTGGAGGAGACACGGGTCGACAACAGGAGGCAGAAGGAATATGCCTCTTGTTTCTCATCTCTTTCAGTCTGGAGGTTACTTTTTATTTCTGCTTTTCACAGAGATTCCAGTGTGACAGCGTGTGCAATAGACGGAGGGGAGTTCAGACGAGATGTAAGGCATATAGGCAGTGGAGTTATTCGAGGAATGTTATTTGAGGCGAAAGTCAGTGAAAACCTCCCACCCACAACCACCCACCCCCTCCTCACCTCATTGCAATCAGGTGCCTGTAACTCAAAGCTTGGAAAACTCTGTCCTCTATTCAAATATAGTTCCCCCCCACATGCCATTCCTCTGCTTCTTCAGTCCTGTCCCCACAGAGTTGTTTCTTGTAGAGCTGCTTGGCCCAGCGGCAAGCGAAACATTCTCTGTTATGTGCTCAACACAGCTCAGACACCAGCAGGGTATCCGCGGGTCCTTGAAAAGTCTTAAAAATGACAAATAATCCTTAAATACAGTTTCCAAAGGTCTTAAATTACCAAGGACCCAATAAACTAGATTATTTTATTTCTATGAAATTTTTGTGAATTTCTAGTTAGTGTGTATGATTTTGGCAAAAGCACGTTCAGTTGGTTGTGAAAGGGGGCTATTTTTAGATGAGCACATTAGCTGGTTAAGCTAGTGGGAGCTTGCGCCATGGGGAAGTGCAAGTTTAATGGTAAATGGATGGCTAATCCTACGTTCCCGACGTGGTTAGCTCCGGCTCCATGCAATAGCTGGAAATTATAGCAGAAATTTAATTTTAAAAAGTAGCTTAAATTTGGTCAAAGTGGCCTTAAAAAAGGTCTTAAAAAGTCTTAAATTTGGCTCCCTTAAACCTGCAGTTACCCTGACCAGAGAGTTGGGGAAACGGGTGTAGAGTATGAACCCATACCATGACCAAACTCTCCAGGTGGACAAAAAAAAAGGAAACAATTGTTTACAGGAAGACATCTCTATTTAGTCACTATGCTTGTGGTTGACTTATGTACATCTAGTGATCCACATAAGTCAGTCTTATTACAACCTCTTTTATATGTCATGATAAATTCTGCTAAACAAGACTGCTTCCCATTATTAACGGTCCCATGGCTGTGGAGGCTTTTAAAGAGAAGTGATTGACATCAGTTGTTGGACCTGCTTGGAGTCTGCAAAGAGACATTGATTCTGTCAGTGTGTGCTCTTTTTAAAGCGCATGTCGGAGACGTCCGCTGGGGTTTAAAGTAGAGGCAAAAAATAAAAAATCAAACTCAAGCGCAAAGGGTGACGCCACTTCTTTTAACTGCTATCCTCAATGGAAACAGCCGAAACTGTGCACCTGGTATTTTTGACGACAATAGGCTCCCACAGCTCATGGCTGTGGAAATCAAATTACGCTTTAAATTACACCGAAGCTGTGCCCCTTGAAAAAAGCTCGTCAGCAGCGGCTCAAAGAGCAATCCACTTTGAATGCAACTTGTTTGCACTTTACAGCAATTATGCCTAACCTTATTTTGCCGGCACGGTAAAACGGCGAGAAAAGCTCCCCGCATTTATCTGTTAGCAGTGCAGGAAATATTGTTTCTCGTGTTAACAGATGAGCCGCTTGAACCAAAAAGGAAAGGTAATCTGCAGGGCTGTTTTGTTTTCAAGTACAGACCCTAACCCGAAGTCAAAGGCAGAAGAGGCTGAACAGAAGACAGTGTTGCACAAGGAAGCTGTTGCCCTTCACTCTCATTATTTATTCATTCCTTTTAACCATAGAGGGGTTATACCCTGGCTAATGAGCAGGACTAAAATAGGTCTTTGACCATGTGCATTTACTTGTGTGTGAGAGGTTGTTGGCCATTTGAGGGTCTTCTTTTTTCATCCGCCTGTGAAGTGTTTCACCTTGGCCATAGCTTGGAAGGGCAGCCTGATTGAAAAGCTTTCTGGCTGTGGCATCTGCCATCCTCCCCGCTGCTCTGTCACCACTTTGATTCATGCTCAACCTGACCACAACTGGGAGGCGAGCCACTCTACCTCACAGTGGGACGCAAGTTCACTTCACAGCAGAGGTGTGGGAAAGGGAGGAGGGAGGAGGATAAGAGAGAAAGGTTCCTCTTGGTAAATAACTCTGGGTTTGGAGCAGTCTCGCACGTCTGCCTGTTTTATTTTTCATCTCTATACAGGAGTTGTGTTTGCCAGAAACGAGTGTCCCTAAGCCATTTCTGGCACATGAAGGGTGTTTCTACTATTTTTTTCCTTGCTGTCTGGACCCAAAGCTAGCTTCCATAGATGGAAAGGTTTGTTTTTAGCCCACACAGATTGGAGATGTCACTTCCATCCTCTTTTACTTTTTTATCTAAACCAGATTGTGCAGACATGGGACATATGTAAAGACTTAAGATTATAGAGCAACAGTTGGTAATCTCAGCTCTCTATCTTAAGGCAAAACTCACTTTGTTCCCATCGCTGATGGAGTGGCGCTACATACAGAGACTTTCATTTAATAAGCTGCTCTGATTAAAAAAACAGTTGGAAAAATGTGCCGTCTCTTTCTTGATTGGCTGCTTTCATATAATTAGCAACAGGTTTTCATTTTTTGTGTTTAGTTTTTCCTAAACAATAATTTAATAGAAAACAACATGTAAAAGCCTCTTTGAGCTTACTATGTGGGTGGCAGAGTAAGACGTGGATCACTTTGAAACAGTAGCTCCCCATGCCTTAGATTTCCAGTCCTCCGGAGGAGATCCGGGAGAGAAAACTCACTTTAGATGAATTGATGAAGGGGATCTGGATGCTTTAGTGTAGTGTGACCAGGCTTGTCAGGCATGTTTCGTTTAATGGCCTTACCTTGAAAAGAGCCTATGATTAAGATTGATGTGGTTGCAGTCCAACACGAGATGTTTGTTGCCCCACTGCTTCGGTACTTACCGGGTTGGCAAGAAGAGAGGGCTCGGAAACCGCGGGGTTCTTTATTCAAACAATCAAACCAGTTCCCAGGGGGGGCTTTGGTCAAACCAAAGTTTGTTTACAGTGGGTAAGAGGGACAGTAGGTAGGAAGTAAGAAGCCGAGCACCCTCCTGTCTGGGCCCCAGACCCCCGGGGTAATTTTTGGTTGCTGTGTTTGTGCACAGTGTGCTGCTGGTTCGCTGGTGTTTCTCCGCCACTCAGCCCTGCGCGATTTCACCAGACAGTGATTGATGGGGTGATACCCAGCTGCTCTCTGATTGAGTTTGAGCCACTCACACTCCCTCGCTTTGTTTGCGCTTTGCTTGATCTCTTGCTAAATTGACAACAATAGTTGTGCTCTTTTTTTTTTCATTGCTCAAACGATTGCATTTTATTCCCACAGCTTATTCCACCTATTGAATGGCAGAATGTGTGAAAAAGGACAGCCTAACAGCAATCGTTCTTGGCATTATCTCAGCGGGTTAAGTGCTGAGAGTATTATTAGTAGCCTGCTCCTCTGGCACTTGTCCAGCCTTTTCAGGATGACCCCTGTGTGCACTGGATAAGTGACAAGAGGGCCTCTTTACTCTATGCCGACTGCCTCCAATAAGGCAGGGATGTTTGACTTGTCAGGCCAGTAAGTAGAAGTGTCACGTTGCCCTTCAGACGTTGGCAGTGGCCCGCTGACCAGCATCACCTAAATCAGCTCCGTAACGCCAAGAGTTCACCCTTGCTGCCTGAAACTAGGGAGGAGATTCACCGCCTGGCACAAGGCCCGAACAGCAAGGCCTCTTCGGCTTTTAAAGTGCTGCATCACTGGAAAAATCCAAACTCTTTATGAGCAGAGGGAGCACCGCAGCCATAAAAGAGATGTAAAAGATGAGAGATATCTCGTTTCTGGCCTGATCTTTATTCAAGGGAAACTGCCAGATTTGGACAACAATGGATCGCCTGCTTGTTTCTGTAAATATCCTCTTTTTACAGAAATATGCTTTGCTTACTTCTAACAACGTTTTCCTCTTTCCTCATCCTGTTAAGGTCTCGACATTGAGTTTCTTTTGCTACAAATTCACAGTGTGGACCTTGATTGTTGATAAATGTTCCGAGCAGGTTATTCCCTGTCATCCTTAACACTCCCACAGGGTGTGATCGCAGTCCTTCAGGCTGTACATCCAGCCGGATGACCGGGTCATGATGCACCCAGCCAATCCCGCTCCCTGACCCTTCCCATCCCCCCGCTGCACACTCTTCCACATGCTCCAGGGAGGTCAGAGAACAAGGAGGAGGGAGAGTGCCGGGGGAACGGATGGGGTATTTAATTGAATAATTCCCAGTGCAGTTATTATTACAATTGCCCTCTAGCGTCTTAGCCATCACAGAGTCTCGTGGAAGAACCCCAGCAAGCGAGAGTGCATGCTTCACGCTGGTGGACCTTTTACCGCGTTTATGTCAGCATCTGTTTGCCAGCTACCTCTCAGCTGTTTTTTTTTTTCTTTTTGAGAACATTTACTCACTTCCTCTACCAACAACTCTGCGGTCATTCCTTCTCTATCTCTCTCTGCAGTTTCCTTTTAGCACATAAACACCCCCTCTGCTCCAAACCAGGGTCCTCTCTTCCTGGCCATCGTGGAGGAGCATGACCTGCACCCATTGGCCTTAACTCTATCTGACCTCTTCTTCAACCCCCCACCTCCTTTGTCTTCCCTTTTTGATCCACTTTTCTTGTCTGCTTCGCTGAGGTTGGCTTTGTACAGTTCATTGCCTACCCACAGCATCAGAAGAGGATAGCTGATATCCTCGCTGAATGTTGTTTGTTGACAAGGATGCGTATCGTTGTTGTTTTTCTCCTCATCAGCTCATAAAAGGTTGTCATGAAGCGCTCACTCGTTTAATTTTAATGTCAGGTCCGATGGGTCACTCTCTAATACTCACATTTATCATGTATTTCATCTTGTCACATGGTTAAAGCCAGTATATGAGATCATTAATGTGCATGCTGCATTTCATGAGCAGGAAGTCCAGTAATGCTCTGCCCCGGTAACAAGCACCCCTCTTTTATGGCAAACTCAGAGCAAATTGGATACTATCTGTGGATTATTCTTCTCTTCTGGAGGAATGTGGTCTTCTGTTGGCTATAGGGCAAAGTGTAAAAATGAACTATGGCAGGTTTTGGATGAATGGGCCAATACTAATACTTTATTGAGCCTCGATGAGGTCAGAAGAGGTTTAATGCAAGCCTCTGACAATAGCATATACAGTAAATGGTTAATTCAGTTGTTTACTCAGTTGAGAAGCACCACCCAGAGTTTTCCTTTTAAAGAGGCTGAAAGTGGAGATTTAAGTCAGCAGCTGGTAAAGTCGTGTTGCTTTTCGGTGTTTCGTTACAGGGCTGAAATGATCTTTAATGCAGTTTTAAATGTTTAGATCTGTTTAGGATTTTAGAATATGTCAGAGAT